TAAAAGGGGACTCTTTTTTTTTCTTCCAAGGACAATAAATATTTGCTCTTTGGGAGACTGCTGGTGGGAGAGGACAAGGTTTGGCTGAGTGGCAGGGAATGTCCAGGGCAGGGCAGGGAGGCCACAGGCCCCTGCTGGGCGGGGGAGGCGGGCCCTGTCCATCTGTCCTTAGGAAGCTGGAGCAGTGGGAAGGGCTGGGGAGTGGGGGCTGTGGGCCACACTCACTCTTTTTCCTCTAAACCCCTTTTCTCAGGTACCTCTCACACCATGCCAGGCCCTTTCCCCCAACCTCATTCTCATAGCCCTTTATGATGCCACATCCCCCCACTTTGTCCCCCACAGTCCCCCATTTCGCCACAGCCCCCCACTCTGCCTCATTCTCCAGGAATGCATGGCCCTAGCTCATGTTGAGACTCTGCAGAAATAAGGGGTTCAGCGTTCCCAGAGAGACTGCAGTTTTGTGTTTTCTGTGTCCCTACTGGCACTGACTGTCCAGGGTCAGGCTGACACCCTTCAGGCCGGGCCCCCCAAAACATGCAGGGCCACCCCCCTCATCCAGAATGCCCCAGCCTGGCCTGTGCTGTCCCTGCCTGTCCCCCACCAGGCCCTGGGTGCTGGAGGCTGCTGCTTGCCCACCCCTCCTTCATGCTGAATCGGGCTCCCAAATATAGCGGCCGTGGCCACAGCCGGCCAGGACACCACAGCCCCAAGCGTCAGTCCTGGGCTGGGATCAGAGGGGCAGGAGCTGATTATAGGTCCCTGGGCCAAACCCAGGGCTCTCCTGCCAGCCCTCGAGCCTTGCCACCCCCACCCCAGAACCACAAGGTTGGAGCATCTGGTCCCAGTCAGCACAGTGGGCAGAGGGAGGGGCCCGCCCGAGCCAGGACAGAGTTGTCTGTGTGTGGTGTGGGACAGTGCAGATGGCCTGGGATGCAAGGGCAGAGGCTGTCCTCTGACCCCATCATCCTGGGAAGCTGTTGTTGCCTGGGTACAGGGTGGGGAAACTGAGGCTGGGAGAAAGGGAGAGCAGCCAGGGCCGTAGAAGCCCGGGAGTCTCCCTCCTCACCCTCGGCAGTTTCCCATCTTTTAAGCCCTGGGCTGTGCCTCTGGGAAGCCGGCCACATCCTGTTGGTGGCAGAGCAGCTCTGCTGGGAAGTCCTTGTTGGAGTCGGGCTTTCACACATGGCTTCAGAGCCATGGGGTGGCATGGACTGGCCCAGACAGTCATCTCCTGGGCCTGGGCCCGCGCCTACCTCACGCTGCCTCTGGCCAAGATAGCAAGGTGGCCCTCACCGCCACTGGCTTGCTTGGTCCCCCCATCTGTGCTGTAGGCGGGACCCCTGGAGCCCCAGGCGGGGATATCATGGGCACCCGGTGTGAAGTAAGGGTTGCGTCTCAGTGGACATGGGTGCACGTGTCTGGCAAGTGAGTGGCAGCCAGGACAGGCCTGGGACCTGCCGCATGGCAACATTTGACCTACTTCTACGGCCCTGGGTCTGGCCCAGGCCGCGTTCTCGACTCCTCCGGGAAGTGTGGGCCTGCGGCCCAGCCCAGGGGCTGTGGGCCAGGAGGGGCGGGCCAGGAGGGGCGGGCCAGGGCGGGCGGGCGGGCAGCCTGTGGCTGGGCAGGAGTGCAGTGGGAGCCTGATCGCCTCCTCCCTGCCTCTGGCTTTGGGGCCTGAGGGACGGCCCCCTGTCATACAGACTCGTGGCCACCATAGCCCAAGCTTCCAGGTGGGCTTGGGGCAGTGTGCACAGGACCGGGAAGTCAGCCAGGCACCCACCTCCAAGGCTTGTGGGGCTGATCGATCTGCAGGGCATCGGGCAGTGCCAATCTAGACAGCCCTCGGCCTCCACCTACTTCTGGATCTGGGGGTTGGGTTTGGGGTTACGGTTCTGGAGTTTGAAGTCCGAGTCCGGCTCTGGAGCATGGGTTTAGACTCCTAAGCCCTGGGGTGTGGCCTCTGCCTCTAAAGTCCAGATTTGGTGGCCTGGGCTTCAGAGTCTGGGTTCTGGGTTTGGGGTTCTTAGTGTGGAGTTTGGTCCTGGACTCTGAGTTCTGGGGTCTGAGTTTGGGGTAAGACCTGAGTCTAAAGTCCAGGTTGGGGTTCCAGGTTTGAACCCAAAGCTGGTTCCTGTCCCTGACCTGCCGTCTGCCTTGTCCCAGCTGCTGAGAAGTGTCTCAGCCAGGGATGGGGTGGCAGGGAGGGCCAACCTGGGCCACAGTGGGTGTGGGGGGCAGCCGGGGGCCCTCTGTGGTCCCCAGAGCTCTTGCCTGTCATGCAACGACACCCCATCTCCCCTCACCCCACTCCAGGAGGGGCTCAGGAGGGGTTTATCCCCCCAGTAAGGTGTGAGCAGATGGGAGATGTGGGACATTTGTTCCTGCAAGGTTTACTGAGTGTCTGGGGATGTGGGTGACACTTCTGCTGGGACAGATGGAGTCCACGGGAGGGAGGGAGGGTTCGGCTACAGGACAGGTTAACAAGGGGGCACTCATGGCAGGGTACACAGGGACAGGAGCCAGCAGATGGCAGGATGGTCTGGGGAGGCTGCCTGGAGGAGTTGGCGTCTTGCTGAGATCAGAGTGACAAGGAGCTTTTGGTGGCCAGAGTCCCCGGCAAGGGACCACAGGGGGAGGCCCAGTCTGTGCAGACCCGGGAGAGGGAAGCACTGCAGAGAAGACTGGTGTGGCCAGGACTCTCCTGCCTCAGCCTACTGGCCTTCAGAAGTCGGCACTTACATTGTCCCCAGCATGGCCCCCAGGGGGGCTCTGAAGCACAACATGAGGGAACACCACTGGACATCAGAGCTGGGTCTTCGGAAGGGGAAGATGCAGGACCCTCTGGCGCTCTAGGTCCCTCAGGCCCTGCAGGATCTTCTGAGCCATCATTCTGTAACTGGGACCCAGCAGGGAAGGTGTGACCCGCTGGCTCCACTGCTTGCCCCCCCTCCCCCATCCTGGTAGCAGTTCTGTTGACCGATGAGTCTCTGCTGGGGACTGGGCCTCTCTTGTTTTTTTTTTTGTTGTTGTTGTTTTTGTGTTGTTTTGAGACACAGTCTCTATATAGTTGAGGCTGGTCTGGAACCCCTAGATATCCCCTGCCTCAGCTTCTCCAGTGGTGAGCTCACAGACGTGCACCACTGTGCCCAGCAATTGCTGCAGGTTTGAGGTATCCAGTGGCCAGGTCTGGGCTCCCATGTCCGGCTGGCCTCCATCTGAGGGTACTTGCAGGCCATACCTGCCCGGTGGATGAAGAGAGGGAATCAGGGTGCCATTGCCCTCTGTCCATGCACAGGGTAGAGGTCAGTGTGTGTCACCCACATGCCACACTGAGGTTCTCCTGGGGAACAGTTCAGAGGCTCTGGGTGGCTAGGTGGTGTGCGGCCTGGGCTGGGTTAGCAATTATGAATGAAAGTGGACCAGGTCATACCTTGGCGCCAGTGCCCGCCATGGGTCATCCAAGAATCGTCCATTCTGTGTGTCAGCAGGCTGGGCCAGCACTGTCCGGAGGGCACTGGCCGTGCCCCATGCTGTCCCCACTTCTTGGAGCTCCTGGCTGTCTCTGTGGACCCTCCCCCACTCTTTCTTGCCAAACATCTGGGAGAAAAGTGAAAAACGTGCCCCCCCCAGCCCCGGATGTTGTGAGATTTCCAGATGTGGGGTGTTCTGCCCTCCAGATGAGGCGAGGAATGTGTCCCAGGGGGAGGCCCCTAGCCCTAGACTGCTGTCCCGTCCAAGTGAGCTGAGTCAGGGCTGAGGAGGACCTGGAGTGGCCATAGGGGACCCAGGTGGAGATGATGGAACATTGTCCTCTCAGCTGGGCTGCACCCCTGAGTGCCCCAGAAACGCCCCTGGAGTCTGGGGGCGGGAGCACTGCCTCTGAAGTTGCTATCAAAGGCTCTTGGTGCTTAAAAATAACCAGGGGCCCCTACCCCCACCATCCCCAGCACCAGGCTGGGCAGGGGCTGGGCCCAATGTGTGTGCAAGATGTCCCTGAGCTCTGTGGCTTGGTCTAGGGGCCTCATGCTGCCTCAGCCGCCCACTGGCCCACAGAGTGGCCCAGGCAAACTGTGCTGTGTTCCTGCCCCCAGAATGGGCACTTGGGGTGGCTACAGGAATGAGGATGAGCTTGGGCTGGCACCGGGGCACCCCCTGCCCAGTTGTGGGCATCTCTGAGATGCAGGCTCCCCCAGGATCCTTAGCCAGGGCTGCAGCTGCCTGTTTCAGAGACACACACTAGTTCCTAGACTGCAGCGGCACACACGAGTAATCCCAGCCTTCTGGGAGGCTGAGGCAGGAGAATGGCAAGTTGGAGCCCAGCCTGGGCAACTTAGTAAGTCGCTGTCTCTAAATAAACAAATAAAAATAAAAAGGGCTGGGGATGTAGTTCCATGTAAAGGCCCTGGGTTCCAATCCCAGCACTAGGAAAACCAAACCAAACCATCTAAATAGAAGCACCCGGCGGCAGGGTCCCGAACACACACGTCAGCCAGCACAGACAGGCACACAGACGACCCCCTGACACACAGAGGCGGCACCAGACCCCACCGCACACATGTTCCAGACAGCACGCACCAGAGCACATGGAGCCTCCATGCTGGTGCCTGGAAGCAGATCCAGGGGCAGATGGACACAGGGCGTCCAGGCCGGAGGGCAAGCGTGGCTCAGACAGTGGGGTATCCTGCCCCCAGCTGCACACACTAATCCAGGGACTTTTCCTCTCCAGGCTACTGACCTGCAGCAGTCCGGGGCATGTATGCACACGAGTGTGGGTGCCTGTGTGTGCCCAGCATCGGCCTCTGCCCTGCTTCACCCCCCCTCTGCCCAACAGGTGATTGGGAGGAATAGAGAGCCCTCCCTCCCCCCATTCCCAGGCTGAACAATGCCCTCTCCAGGCCCCAAAATAGCCCCTGAGCCTCACCAATGTCCTTTTATGGCCCTATCCCTATTGTGCCCAGTGGGGGTGGGGCGGGGTCAGAGGTGTCCAGGAGGATAAAGCCCTGGGGCAGGGCTACCCTGCTGCCTGCATCCTCCTCCACCGCCCTCACTGAGCTCACAGCCCCCATGGCCCCCAAAAAGCCGGATCCCAAGAAGGAAGATGCCAAGGCCAAAGTGGCCCCGGCCCCCGCCCCCGCTCCCGCACCTGCACCTGCGCCGGAGCCTGAGCGCCCCAAGGAGGTCGAATTCGATGCTTCTAAGATCAAGGTGGGCATGGGCAGGAGCTGGGCTGGGCTGGGACAGGCAGAGAGTGGAGCCCCTGGAAGAAGACTGGGGTGGGGGAAGGTGAGGACGCCAAGGGGACATAGGAGCTGTGGCAGGAGGGGTGGTGGTCAGACATGGGGCAGGACCGGCCGGCACTGCAGGGAGACCATGCCTGTGGAGTCTGGATTGGGTTTGGAACGGAAGGGCTTTTCGGTGGCCCTGAAAGCTGACTGTCCCTTCTCCTGGGACTTCGCATCTTTTCAGGGGAAGTGGGGAGGTCCCTGAGGCAGCTACCCCGAGCTCCAAGATCCCCGTAACCAGGGAGGTGTCTTCCTTGGCCAGCTGAGGTCCCCTGTCCATGCCAACTCTCCTAGAGGGGCAAAGCAGAGAGCAAGCAGAGCAGCCCTGCCAGCTGGGCCACACTCACCCCTGCCAAGATCCCTGAGGCAGAGCCGTTTGGGTCAGGCCGGGCCTCAACGTTCAGGGGGAGAGGTTGAGGCACAGGCTGGGGAGGGAGGTCTGCATAGTCCTGAAGGAAGTGGGCGGTGGGGCTCTGACTGGTGGCCCCAGGAACCCTTCCTGGCGGGAAGTCCTTGCTGGAGTCTAAACTTGGAGGCCAAGTGTGACTCCCACCTGTGGCATTCGCATAGCAGCACGCTTGGCTCCTGCCCTTCCATGCCACCTGGCTGCCTCCCTAGGACCGCGGAGCCCTTCCAGCCCCGCCTGCCCAGCAAGAGAGGCACCCACAAGGCGGGCCACTTCCTTCCCTTACGCCCTTCCCAGAGCCCCTTTCTGTGTCTGTGGCAACGAGGGTCCTGTCCTGAGCCTGCTCCAAGACCTCCATGATGAGCTCCCTGGGAGCCCAGGTCCTCCGCCACTCTCTGCCTGTGCCCTCTGTCTTGTGGGCTCCATTTGTCCTGCACCCCGAGTTGGCACTATCTGGTCTCACCAGCTCTGAGGTGGGCACAGATTCCCCTGTGAGGTTCGGACCTAGAGGCCCTTCTGTGGCCCCTGGGACCCCAGGCTGGCCGGTGAGAGCAGGGGACCAAGTCCCTTTCTGATGAAGAGAGCTCTCAGGGGCCCAGGCATGAATGCCGACTCGTTCCCCCAACTCGAGGAGGGACCGCAGGGCAGGGTGGCAGGTGGGGGTTTCCCGGCACTGGTGGGCACCCAGAGCTTAGAGTGGCTCCAAGGAAGAAGTGGAGGGAGAGGCACTACGCGCGTCCCCTTCTCAGAGCTCCTTCCCTGGCCTAACCTTGAACTCTGGAGGGTGATGACAGGGATAAAAATAGACCTAGTGTCAGGTGAGGAGGGGGCATCGGGTCCCAGGAGGCTTCCTGGCTTGGAGTGGCCGTGATTTGGCCTCTGCAGACGGTTGGCAGCAGAGCCCCATGCTGCACCGGGATGGGGCTGTCCCAGGGTCACAGGTGAGGGCAGGGCTGCAGGGGGCACACACGGAGACACGTGTCCACGCCAAGCTCTGTGGCAGAGCCCATCTGGTGGCCTTGGGGAATCTGTTTAGAAGCAGGACCTTCCTCCCTTCCTCTTCAGGAAGCAATGGGGTCTGAGAGGCAAGGCCATGGGGTTGCACAGGGACAAGAGCTGGGTGGGTGACCAGGTGTGGCCAGAGGTTCTGCCTGGTGAGGCTGGGGACAGGCTGGGCTCCCAGGACCAGGTGCTCAGGGTCTTGGGGTCTTTTTCAGATCGAGTTCACCCCGGAGCAGATTGAAGGTGAGTGGGGGTCCCAGCCTGGGGCTGTGGGTCAGGCAGGGGTCCTGCCCCACTTGGGTGGCCTGCAGTTCCCCACCTCCTGCAGAGTTCAAGGAGGCCTTCACGCTGTTTGACCGCACGCCCAAGGGCGAGATGAAGATCACGTACGGGCAGTGCGGGGACGTCTTGCGGGCACTGGGCCAGAACCCCACGCAGGCGGAGGTGCTCCGAGTCCTGGGAAAGCCAAAGCAGGAAGGTAGGGGCCTTGCCTGGAGTGGGGGTGGGGTGGGGTGCCAAGGGTGCTCACGTCAAGGTGCAGGTCCAGGGAGACCTCAATTCGGCACCCTGACCCATGCCAGGGGCAGTCCGTGAGAAGGATGGGCCAGTGGGGAGAGGCACATGGTTCGGGGTTCAGCCCCCATTCAGGAGCTCTGCCCACCCCACCCCCACCCCCGCCCTGTACGCAGAGCTCAACACCAAGATGATGGACTTCGACACGTTCCTGCCCATGCTGCAGCACATCTCCAAGAACAAGGACACCGGCACCTACGAGGACTTCGTGGAGGGGCTGCGGGTCTTTGACAAGGAGGGCAACGGCACCGTCATGGGTGCCGAGCTGCGCCACGTGCTGGCCACCCTGGGTGAGGCCGCCTGCCTGCCCCACACTGCGGGGCCCGAAACGGGCAGACTGACAATCAAGGTCCTTCGGGCAGGGAATAAAGAAAGAGTGTTGGAGCCTGGTATTGCTGGTAGCCATCACATGCCTGTGAGGCCAGCACTCTGGGAGGCTGAGGCAGGAGGATCACAAATTTGAGTCCTGCATGAGCCAGCTAGCAATTTAGGGAGATACCGAATCTGGAAATAAAAAATATAAAGTGGAGGAGGGGACTGGTCATCCAGACACCACGATGCCCAGGGCCCTCAGAAATGGGTCGATGGCCTCAGTCTGGTGGGCAGCGCTGGTGGGGGGGCCCTAGACAGCAGCTCCGCCCTTTGGAGGGACTCAGGGTCCCCCTCCCTGGCACCTCTCACCCCAGATGGTGCTGACTCAGCCCTCTGTCCCTGCCAGGTGAGAGGCTGACTGAAGACGAGGTGGAGAAGTTGATGGCCGGGCAGGAGGACTCCAATGGCTGCATTAACTATGAAGGTGGGCTCCAGGGGTCCTGGGGCCAGGGGCCAGGGGCCAGGTCCTCGGGCTTCGATGCTCAGCCCTGGCCTCCTACTCTCCTCTCCAGCATTTGTGAAGCACATCATGACCAGCTGAGCCTGCAGCGAGACCCCCGTGCCCGGCTGCCTCCACAGCCCCTACTCAGAGCCCGGGGGACCCTGCGAGTGACCGGGGCTGCCTTTGCTTTCAGGAGCTGGGAGCTGAATGGGGACGTCAGTTCCGTTCAGTGGGGAACACGGTCATCTGTGCCCCTCTGGGCTGCATTGGCCTGTACTGCTCCAGTGCGGGATCCTCAATAAATGACCATCTGCCCGCTTCTGGCTTCCTCCTCCTTCCCTTTCTCCTTCTTTTCTCTCTCTCTCCTCTCAGCTGCCCTTTCACCAGCCTCTCCAGTCCTTGGGCCATGGCCTCCCAGTGGGAGTGGGCCAGGCTGGTGGTCTCCCAGGTCCCCCCCTTGCTCCCGCCCTCCCTCCTATCGTGACCCACGGGTGCCACTGAGAGCGCGGTCTGCGTGATGACCCCATGACTGAGCTGGAGCTGTGTGTCCCAGGCAGACAAGCTGAGCTGGGGACATGGTGGCCCTGCCCTGTGTGTCTGGAGCACCATCCCCCAGCTGCCAGAGTCAGACGGAGACACTGAGGCTATCAGCTTGTGGGGAGCCCTAGGGAGGGGTAGAGGCCTCAAGGGACGACCTCCCAGGACCCCCAGTGGGCTCCTCAGCCTGCACTTCTCAGTGGAAGGCAGCTGGGACCCCTTAGCGAAGGCAGCAAAACACGTGACCACCTCTGTCCTCATCTCCTTGCCCAGGAGAGCATTTGGGGCGGCTTCCTGAGGGGTGGTCCACCCCGTGAGGGCAGGAGACAGCGGGCATCGGTGCACGTGGGAGACCTGTCAATGTGTGTGTGCCTGTGGTGGAGGGTGCACAGGGGTGTGTGTGCCCTGTGCCCAGGCACCTGATGGTGCTTCCTCCTGTGGCACCTGCCGCAGGCCAGGCTCTGCTGGGCATCAGGAGCAGTGTGGGGCATGTGTGCAGCCTGACTGGTGGCTGACAACAGGGAGGGCCAGCGTGGGCAGCAGGCTCCTGTAATCCCACACTGGAGAGGCTGAGGCAGGAGCATTACTGAGCGTATGAGTGTGACATTGGTGATGGTAACCACTGGACAGAGACTCATAGGACAGGTGCAATCGTATGATATATAAAGAACTCCTACCAAGCAACAAAACCCCCAGGTAACCTGACTAAAAACGGGGCGGAGGAATAAAATGTCTGTGAAGAGGACATGGTGGGGCCGGGGAGACGGGCAGAGGCGCTGGCTCTCAGTGATCCTTGGGATGAGGTGGATTGGAGCCATTTTCGGGAATGGAAACGGTGCGGCCACTGTGGAAATCAGGACCCCAGGCCGCAAAACATTAAACATGGAATTACCTGTGACCGAGCTGCTCTGCATCTGAGTTCAAACCAGGAAGGGCTGGAGGTAGGATTGCAAGCTGGCATTTGCCTGCCCCTGTTCACAGCAGCCTGGCTCACACCAGCCAGGCAGTGGAAAGGACCCAGATGTGCCTGGGCGGATGAACAGACAGCAGAATGTAGCAATCGCATGGTAGAATATTACTCAGCCTGTGAAAGGAAGCAGCACCAGCTGACACAGATGGCCGAGGGTGGATTTGCACGGGCTGGGTAGCTCCAGGAGTTTCCTTTTGGTATTTTTGAGACACGGTTTTACTATTTAATTAAGTCTGGCCTTAACTCACAGTGATCCTCCTGCCTCAGCCTCTCTAATGCTGGGATTAAAGGAGCCTGCTGTCCCCCATCCCTGTCTTCATGTGTGAACCAGGGTGGGAAGGCTGGGTTGATAGTGGGGACAGGCTGGGCGTGGCATCTGAATCGTGCTGGTCTGCACTGTCTGGTCCCCTTGCTGAGACTCTGAGAGTGTCTGGAGTTGGCTGTGGTGGCACACGCCTGTAATCCCAGCACTGGGGAGGTTGAGACAGGAGGGTCACTTCGAGTTCAAGGCCAGTTAGTGAAACCCTGACACCAGGGCCATGGTACCACTCTGGGGCCTTCTGCCTGTCATACACAGCTGTGCTGAAGGTGACCCTCCTCCTGCCTCAGCATCCTCCGCTGGGGTGTGTGTGCAATGTGTGTGCGTGTGCGAGCTGTGCATGTGTCACGTATGCACATCTGTGCCGGGGAGGGTGTGTGCATGTCTGTTGGTGCATGCGGCGTGTACGCCGTTGGCCGCTGTGTGCAGGAGTTGTGTGCGTGTGTCGGCTGTGCTGAGTCAGCCCTGTGCTGGGTGGGCAGTGCTGCCAGCCGGCCTGTGGCCTCCCCACAGTTGCATAAACCCTGATCCCCACTCCCCTCGAGCAGGGTGGTCTGGCCCATGACCCACCGCTAGAGGACAGGTTGGGAAGGGGAGAGGGCTTGTCCCCCCAGACCCCCCTACCCACCTGACTGGGCACCCTGGTACTCTCCAAGGTGACAAGCAGGCGGGCGCCCCTTCCAGGCCGGCAGAACCAGGGTCGGGAGGTGGGTCGAGGGCAGAGTGCAGCCTCGGGACTCTGGGCCAGGCCTAAGTCATCCTACAGAAAGCCAGTGACACCATGGGCAGTGACCCTCCGAGGGACTATAGTCTCAAGGCGGATATTCGGGGTCCAGAACTTGAACCCAAAGGACAGAGAACTGTGGGAGCTGGGTCATGATGGGACTGGAGCAAATGGTCCCCCTCCCTGCTGCTCTGATGTCTTGCACGGCCACCCGTGGCTCTTGGCAGCCTGTCACTTCCTGTGTCCTCTCTCCCAGCTGCCACCCTTCCCCTGGGAGATGAGGGTCAGGTCACGTGCAATGGGGTGCAGGAAGGGCAAAGATGAAGTGGGCTGAAGTCAGGCCAGGACATGAAGTCTGGCAGTGGACAAAAGTTTCCTCTGGTCACTAGCAGGAAGGACAGGGGTCCATGGGTACGAAAGCCAGAACCGTGGGCTCAAAGCACCGAGGCAGAGGGATCCCCGGGAGCTGATGGAGGCTGCAGGAGGAATTCAGTTGTGGAGAAAAGGACCAGACGAAGCTATGCATGAAGTTGGGGCTAGGAGCCGGGCGTAGTGGTGCACACCCATAACCCCAGCATTCGGGAGGCTGAAGCAGGACGGTCACTGGGGGTTCAAGGCCAGCCTGGGCTACATAGTGGGACCCTGTCTCAAAAAGCCAAAACCAAAACTAAATCCAAAATAACAACAATAAACAACAAAACCCCCAAAGCAACAAAAACAAAAGAAGAAGGAATCAGGTGGAGGGAGGAGGAGCCCACAGGAACCTGTGATATCTGACAGGCAACCCCTCGGGGTGCTTTGGTGGAAAGGGCCATGGATGGGCTTTCTGGGGACAGGGCCCTCTCTCAGAGCCTTCGTGCAGTCCCCCCAGGGACTGGAGAGCCCAGGCCTCGAACTCCTGGCTGCCAGAGTTCTCCTAAGCCCCTCCCACCCAGCCCCTGGCCCACCCTGGCCCACCCTGGCCCATGGTGGGGTTATTTGCTCTCCAGTCTCCCACAGCCAAAACATCCTGGTTTGCCGAGTGCTGATGGAGCACGGCTGGAGAGTGGTGTGTGCGGCCTACGGGGTCCCCAGCCCCGCTGTGCCAGCCAGGGTCCAGGACAGCCTGCCTAGGGATGCCTGCAGGCCTGCTGTTTGCTTCCATCTCCTGCTCTTTTTCTGATCTGGGTGGGGGGCACACACCTCACATGTTCCCTGAAGCCATGCAGAGAAGTGGGAGGTCAGAGCCCTCTTGAGGGGCTGGTGAGTAGGGATTCCAGAGACAGCAGACAGCCTGGGACAACTGAGGTCTTGTCTGTCAGCTTCTGGGTTTTTATTTTTGATTTTTTTGGAGGCAGGTTCTCAATGTGTAGCCCAGGCTGGCCTTGAACTTGAGATTCCCCCTGCCTCGGCCTCTGGAGTGCTGGGACTGCAGGTGTGCCCCACCACGCCTGGTGCTGCCTGGTTTGCGTACTTTGATCCATCTGGGCACTGCCTTGTGGTCAACACTCTTGTGCGTGGGGCTGGAAGCCTCTGTCTTCCCTCCCATGAAGTTACAGAGGCTGTGGCAAGGCGATCTGAAACGTAACCCCAGCTCCTGAGCCGGGGAGGTGGTGAGCTCCTTGGCCTGCGGGGTGTGCAAGCCTGGGGTCCTGTCCTAGCCAGGAAAGCTGCCAGAGGGGACGCTGCCCCGGAGCAGTGGGAAGAGTTGTATGTCCCAGATTCCAGTGCCGGCTGCCCCTCCCAGGAAGTGCTCTCGCTCTCCATGAAGCACCGTCTGCCCAGCTTGGGGTCCTCTCTCCTCCCTAGCACAGCCCGCCATGCTGCTTTCTACCAGGGTGTTTTTTGTTTACAGATGACAGTGATGGTCAGCGGTAGCTTTTTCCTTCCCATAACTTTACTTGACAAACCAAGAATTGACAAAGTCAGTTTTAAGTTTCATGATTTAGTTTGGATATAAACTGCTGTGTATCAGACCAATCATCCTCCCATCTATCCGTCATCCATTCACCCACCCATCTGTCCGTCCATCCATCCACCCACTCACTTGTCCACTCATCTGTCTATCCATTCATCCCTCCATCCATCCATCTGCCTATCCCATGCAGCATTTGTCCATCATCCATCCATCTGTCCATCTGTCCACCCCAGCCCCCATCTACCTGTCCATTTGCCCATCTCTCCACCCATGCAGCAACTGCCTAGCCATCAGTCCATCTATTCAGCTGTCCATCCACTGACCCTCTACCCCATTTACCTGTACATTTGTCTATCTGTCCACCTATACAGCATTTGTGCATCCATCTGTCCATCTATTCACCCATCCACCCACTCACTCTGCATCTACCTGTCCATTTGTCCATCTGTCTTACCCATGCAGCATCTGTCTTTCCATTCATTCATCCATCCTTCTGTCCTGTAGCTACCTGGTGCTCACTGGGCTCCCCTGCCATGGGTATGGGGTGTACTGCCCCTGCAGGAGGCACAGTGCAGTCTGGCCCTGTGCATGGGGCAGTGGAAGAAGAAGACCCCTTTCTGGGACTGTCTGGGCCCATGATAGTCTTGGACCACAGAACACTATGCCTGTTGCCACCTCTGGGGCCTGAGGCTGGAAGTGGGGAGCCCCAGCCACAGCACAGAGGTGGGGGACAGGGATGGGGTGTTGATAGCAGTCACGGAGAGAAGGCATGGGCTTAGCGTGCCCAGCCCAGATGGCGCTCTGAGCGGAGAGAGCTGCACATCTCTGCTCAGTTACCTTCTCGTCCCAGCACTCTCAGATGGGCCACCTC